TTTTCTATATAATGTAATCTCACTTTTGCAGTTTTTTTGAGGCTGGATAGAGTATTATTTTAATTAAGTTTTTTTTATCCCTCTCCTACCACTATTACAAAGTAGCGCTTTGCCTCCAGTGAGACCCTTCGTCCTTTTCTGGTTCCACGTTTCTCCTCCCTCAACCTACACAAGGTTCCTTGCTGCCCATCTGTCTGACAAGATTCTTGCAGATTCTGTTCAATTTCCTTCATCTGCCATCTCACAAGTTTTTCACTTTAATGAGGATAAGCCCACCATTTTAAAATCAGAACTGCAGTAATGCCTATGAAGGTGTTCAAAGCTTTTGGCTGCCCTGCAGGAAACAGTCGTTTAATATTTTAGAGGCTGTTTCTCACCTGTTCAAGGCAGCATTCTTTTCTCAGTCTAACAAAAAGATCAGATAGCCCAAAGTATGGTATTAAAAATAAAACCAGAAAAGTTGTCTGTATAAGACATGTTTAGTTTTATCTAAGTATGTGAGAAATGATCACATAACTGCCCAAGAAAATGAATACCAGTCCATAAACCTGTATTCAGAGATGATTGCTTTTGTTTTTATCATTCTATACCTTTGAAGATGGTTTCCATGTACAGATAGACTTTTTTTCAGCTTTAATTGAGTTTATTGGTACATTTTAGGGATACAGTTACATTCATTGTTGGGAAACTTTTGTTTTTATCATTCTATACCTTTGAAGATGGTTTCCATGTACAGATAGACTTTTTTCAGCTTTAATTGAGTTTATTGGTACATTTTAGGGATACAGTTACATTCATTGTTGGGATCTTGTGCCTCTACATGACAAGTCTTGATTCTCATTTTTCAGAGTTCAATTTTTTAAAAGTAACATTCTTGCTTCTTTAAATTTTAGCTTTGATTTATGAATAATTTTGTTTCATAAACAGCAAGTTTTCACAATCATATTTACCTAACGTTTATACTTATAAATGAAATTTTAACTGTAATTTTATTATTTTTGATTTACTTTTTAATATTTCAATTGATTTTTTTGATAATTATTCTTCCTATATATTTCAATAAATCATATAAGCCAAGAAATATTTATTTCTGATTTCTCCTAAAGTTTGCCATAATGTTTTAAGAATTTGATAGTTATTCTGGTAATATTCACCTAAAACCACAAATTGAAGTAATTATATATTTGTATACTTTATATTGAAAAATATAGGACTATCCACTTACTGTGATAAGCCATGTTTCTTAGCCATACTAATAGCAAGTAAGAACAAACTTCTAACCTAAAACTGTCTGTCTTTTAGAAATTTAAACTTTATACTTTTCATGTTGATTTTTTTTTTTTTTTTTTAGTATCGGGAATCGAACTCAGGTCCTTGTGCTTGCGAGGCAGGTGGCAGAACAACTGAGCCAGATCTCCAGCTCCAAAAGCTTTATACTTTTAAATTTTCTGTACTTAATTTTTCTCTTTAAAGTTGAAAGATGTTACCTACTTGTGGGAAAAAATGTCACCTCAAACAAATTTAAAGTTATAATTCCAAGTAACGTTTACTGATGTTTTTCACTTTGAACACATTTCTGAATGGCCAGATACAGGCTAGGATTAGAAGAAAGGAGCTTTATATTGTGTGTGTGTGTGTGTGTGTGTGTGTGTGTGTGCGTGTGTGTGCGTGATCCTGGCTTCAGCTATGCTGTGGATCCCCAAATCTAATGGAAATTGATAAGATATCTTGTATCTAGATTGGATTCATATCTTCTGTCTAGCAATGAAAGCTGGTAATTTCATACATGCAGCAACATTCCTTGACTCAGCTTTGTATTTCTTTAGCCCAAACTTAGCAGATTTCTGAATTTGAGGATAATACTTCTTTCTTTTCTTTTTTTTTCCTCATTGTGTTTATTTGTACATTTTAGGTATGCAGTACAGTTACATTCATCATTGGGATCTTGTACCTTTACACGACAGGTCTTGGTTCTCATTTTTTCCCTTTGTCCCTGCCCTCCCTTCACCCCCTCCTCCCCTCCCCATTTACAAACATTTTATTTCCATTTTTTCATTTTCTCCTGTTTTTTTATTTTATTTCCTTTTTCATTTTCTCCTGTTTTTTTCCTTTCCCTTATTTCCTTTCCCCTACTCTTCCCACTTTCCCTACACATTTAACCCTTTTCTTCCTATTTCACAGTCAACTATCTCATTAGGATCTTATGTGCTATTTTAGTTTTTTCACACAGTACTTCTTTCTTTTCATATTCTTCTTATCTCTTAGAGTCACAACTCTTCTGGATAATTAAATGATGTCAGATTGTATTCTGGATCTTTCTCAGGTCTTAGTATAAGTGGTTTAAGCTTCTTGTGACTTATAGACAAGGTTTTCTGTCTGATATGTTATCTCTCAGAGTAGTTCATAGTGAATATTTGAGTCCAAAGCTTATCCAGCCAATTTTCAAACTGACCAACTATATGAATCTTAGTAACAAAGAACAATAGCTTAATATGTGGAGTAACTGGGCAGACCTGAAAGCCTGTGTGTACTCTGACAGCACCATAGGCTATTTTTGTTTGATAAATTATCTACTTTAATCATAATATTTAAGTTCTAATGGTCCTGTAAATATTTTGTCCACATTGATGCATAATATTCTTAATTTTACCTTATACTTATAAGGTAAAATTAGAAGCATGTACAAGTAAGTTATCAGTGATGACATCTTATTTATTTAGGAGGCAAGAACTAGAAACAATGTTGAAGCTATTTGAATAGAAGCTGAGTAATTACCAGTCGTTTGTGTATTTACTGTGTGTTCTGTAGAAATAAGTGCAAACTGTGCCTTTCTTTTCTCTATTGATTCGTCTATAGGGTATAATATTAAGATCATTTTGAATAAATGCTTAGAGAAAGATGCTTAGAGATATTCAACAGACAGTTATTCAAAAATCAAGAATTTTATAAGCCAAGTTAAATGCTTAGCCAATTTACAACCTTGTTCCTTGAATATCAGTAAGTTGTTCAATTCTTTCACATTATTATCCTGGCAACATTCATCCTACCTTAGAGCTTTGGATAGGAAAGAATCTGTCATATAGGGCCACTGCCTCCAGACTATGAATCTTTTGTCAAATTTTTCTGTAGTTTGTAAGGTTATGATTGCCTATTATTTTCAAAACTCAGAATTTCTATTCATAAATTTAAATACCACTGAATATTAAAAGCATAAATCATGTACTCATCTCTCTTTGGGAGATGTAAACAGTGGAAAAAGGCAGAGACAAAAATACAGCTATCAACTTTACCAGAAGATATAATGTCTTTCCTAGATATCAGATCTCCCTACAGTCAGTAGATCTCCGTTCTCAAGGTAGGTATAATTCAAAACAAGCATGCCAAAAAGACATCATTTTTAACAGGAAAAGGAACACATACAGTTTACTATATATCTATAATATATAATTATATATTATATATTATATATAATATAAACCATAATGTACTATATCTTATAATACTGTCCTATTGTGAAGTTAATTTTATGTTTTACTTTCAGTTGACTCATCTAAAAATAAATTATCATTGCTACTACTAAAGATTCATTTCAGTCCTATGATACCACGATACTACATGATCTTTGTGAACATATGAACTTTTCATATAAACTTATGCAATTCTACACCAATGTGTGGAAGATAACTTTTGCTTGCAAGCTTTAAACTTAACATACGGCTCTTAACACTTGTTTAATTTCACACAGTCTGATGGAGGACAAAGGCACCAAGTTCTCACATGAAGCTCCATGTGAAATTCACTGACTATAGAACTATCCCTTCCTTCTTCATGTAAGGTCTTACTTTCTAAATATGTTACTAACTACTGTCCAGTCACAATAGGAACACAAACTTTTCAGGTAGAATAATTTATAAACATTATAATTTCAAAATAATATGAACTTCAACTAAAAAGTTCAATTGGAAGGTCATTCTTTTCAACAGATAAGTACATCATTCAATTATTTTTCCACTGAGGAAAAACTTTGAAAAACCTTTTTGTGTAGAATATACATATAGATATAGATATATAGATACATGTATATATTCTCTACTTTATATATTTGTACCTTGTAACTTACTAGAAAATAGGCTACCATTTTAAGATTTTTTTATTATTGGTAGACTCATAAATGCTTGGTTTGGTCTCCCTATGCTGTTATGGAAATGCGTTTGTTAATTTATATGGTAATTAATGTTAATGTCTATTAATTGAAGTCTCATTCAAATTTTCTTCCACAATTTTTTCGATTAACCAAAATTTTCTATATGCAAATAACATTCTTAACTTCATTTTTCAAGGAAAATAAGTTACTGTTTAGAAATTTATTTAAACCTTAATGTACTATATTTTAATAGTACTGTACTATTGTGAAGTTAATTTTATAATGTTTTATTTTCAGTTGACTCATCTAAAAATAAGTTATCATTGCTACTACTAAAGATTCAAATGATATAAAATATGAAGGCTCCGTGAAATGTATTATACTATAATATAGCCTGGCCTTTGTAATTTTCAATATAATATTAGATATGTTAATTTTGTTGTGTCAGTTGGAATAAATTAGATCGTTTTTTAAGTATACTGGTAGCATGACGCCTTATTGCTGTGAAAATGACCTCTAGGAAAATCTGTTGACTTTGTTGAATACAAATTTCAGTGTTCTATATGAGATTTCCCCTAGTTATAACCAGATATGATAGTTTTGCCTAGCTATCCCTTATAAAAACTAATGTCCAGATGTTGACTGCAGATGACATTATAAAGACAATAATTCTTTTTATGTGCAGCATATTACCTCATAGAATTTTGAATACCAGTGGACTGAATTTGCTTTCTTTTAGTTAAAATAGTCTCAGGACCCAGAATTGAAAGAAATCTAGGAAATATGCCACTCCTTTCTTCTTACTTTTGTTTGTCAGAGCAAATCCAGCAAAGCTGAAGGTTTTTTACCCCTACAGGTTTGGGATGAAAATCTTGCAAAATCTGCAGAGGCCTGGGCAGCTACTTGCATTTGGGACCATGGACCTCCTTACCTGCTGAGATTTTTGGGCCAAAATCTATCTGTACGAACTGGAAGGTATGAGGCAATTTCACATTGATGCAGTTTATCTATGTGAGTATTAATAGGGCTCAAAAAAAGAATGACATCACTTTCAAGTAATCCAGAAAATATTTAATTTTCAGTGAGTGATCTTAGGCCCAGTGGATATCTTAAATGGCTCCAAGAATTATATAATTTAATTAAATTATACAATTTAATTATAGGATTTAGTTAAAAAGTCCTAATAAGAACAGTTTCCTCTTTCACCCTTGGAACACGTTCCTTTAATATGTATTTCTCATTGGCTTCATAGAATCTTAGAAAGAATCAAGCATGTGCTGTATCCTGTCTGTTTCCTCAGAAAAATTCCATGACCTTGGGAGAAGCCATTTGTATTGTATGTGTTTATGTACACACATGCACGGCCACATGTGTGTGCACAATTTCCCATAGTTTTATATACTTACACATTAATTAATAGACAAATACAATAGACATTTTATGTTTACACTTAAATATACCCACATTTATATATGTGCAGGTAAAAGCAACTATGGTGAAGTATATTTTTACTGATAGGATAATTTTTCTACCACTACAGAATGTCATTACCCAACCTGCCAAAGACCCATTCTCTTCCATATAAAGGAGGAAAATCAGTAGTACTTACTATTATTAAAATTAAAGTTATTCACATTAATGAAAAAATATGCTAAGTGGCCACTTTTGTAATCTAAATCTGAGTTGTTTGCAAAATTCTGATGGAAGAAATTTTTAATATGGATCAAATAAAACTTTAATGATTCCTGAATGTTATCTTTTCTCAAAATAACTGACATATACTTAGATAAATACAGGGTCATTTACTCCAGTCCTAGAGAAATAAAAAAAATACTACTATATGTTGGTAGTAATTATGAAGGGTGAATATATTCTTCTATTGTCATAATGATCTTTAAAAAATTAAAATACAATGTAACACGAGTCCACACAAAAACTACTACTGCTGTACTTTCAATTCATTCTTTCTTTTTCCTCTTAACTTCTAGATACCGCTCTATTCTCCAGCTGGTCAAGCCATGGTATGATGAAGTGAAAGACTATGCTTTTCCATATCCTCAGGATTGCAACCCTAGGTGTCCTATGAGATGTTTTGGTCCCATGTGCACACATTATACACAGGTTATTTCAATTGCTTTATTATTTTTTATTCATATTTTAAAAAATGTTCTTATTTTGGTATCCCCTTATTTTCTTAGCAATATAGAAAATATATATTTATTTTCACAGATGGTTTGGGCCACTTCTAATCGGATAGGATGTGCAATTCACACTTGCCAGAACATGAATGTTTGGGGCTCTGTATGGAGACGTGCAGTGTACTTGGTGTGCAACTATGCCCCAAAGTAAGTACCAGGTTGGGCTCTATTTCCTGGGTCTTTGAATGATGTTAAATATCTCCAGTCTGATAGGCATGTTTAACAAATGAGCAAAACTTAGGGTTGTGGCCTCTGATCCTCAGATTCATCATTACTCTCATGTTTCCGATAAATTATTAGGTGACAAGTTTCTTTTCACCAAGGCAAGGATTCTGGGCTAAAATTGTGAGCAAAACATTTTGAGACATCTGGACTCACTAAATTCTCCTTGCCATCTTTTTTCTGTCGTGGAAATTGTAAATGCCGTATTGTCCTTCACTGTTTTAAAAGCTATATAGAAAGACCTCAAAAAGAGAATCTTACAAGGAATTTATCAACACCATCATATTTCTGTTTATCAGTATTAGAACACTAGATCACCCTTTGCACTAGGAAAGCAAGACATCTGAAATGAATCCTTTATTTCTGTTGTTAGTTTTTTAGATCAAAATATTACTGAATATCATCTATGACCTACATAAAATGTCTTATACAAAATGTTTAACGTGTATTATAGAAATTTATTCCAGATCATAAAATATAGACATATTTATGAAGATTTTTTTATAGAATAAGGATTAACAAACACTTGTCAACATTTGATAAAATGCCTTCTTGCTAACAATATTTCTTTAGATGATAAAATGTTCCAATATTTATACACAGTTATGTTCCCACTTGGAATAAATACCAAAATGTGCAAAGGATTTATGACAGTCTTAGTGTCTTCCAAAGTAAGGCCCAAACAAAGATTTTCTCCAGTTATTCCAGCATGGGGAGGGAGTGAGAAAACGTGTCACAAATAAGTGCATTACTCATTGATCTGGCATGGTGCCATGGCAGTGTTTTTGCAAAGTTAGAAAAATAGTGATTTCCTGATGGCCCTCTGTTCATAGTTATTAGGATGGAAAGATTTGAAAAATGAAATGTGTCTGCATTATTTTTTAAATTATTAAACTTGTGTATTTGTGTGATATTTTTTTATTTTCACATTTTATATTTTCCTATTAAGCCCTTACCCTTTTGCACTGACATAAATAGGCCAGGTAAGTGAGGATCCAAAGAGTCAAAAATATTTTTGTCTCATTCATTTAACTATTCTGATTTTGGTCAATGATTACAATTTTCTCATATTAATATGATATATTATTGTTTTATAGGTCCAAGAAATTAAGATTTAGTATTAGAATGTGATATTTCAGATTTAATAAAAACTTTTTTCTGGAACGTAGGTAATAAAAGGTTTAAAATATTGACTGGTAGCCAAATTTATTTCTTTCATTGCCAATGTAAAGTTATCTCTAGTCAGTTTTTCAGTGAAAGTAATAGGAGAGGGAGAGAAAAAAGGAGAGAGGGACAGAGAGAAAGAGAACCCAATTAAATAAAATAGGGCAAAAATAAAAGAGTGAATAATATTTCAGTTATCTGACTTACTGTCAAGTATCATTATCCTCTATTTAGTAAAATCTGTGATTTATGCAAAATTTATAATATAATACACAATATTTTTACTTATAATAAAATTTTATTTCTGCGTGTTTATCAAATATGTATCATATGTTTTCAAGAAGCTATGGAAAATAGAAAAAATATAAAATTTAAATAGTGCATCCTTGTCGTATATATTGGTAGAGCTTTGGGTAAATTTATAGAGTAAAATGCTATTACTAACACAGAATGGGACAGGATGAGGAGAAAGGAGTGAACTATATTCATAAGCAAATAGAACTAGGATGTTGCAGGGCGAGCGTGTGACATCATCAGAATTATTCTCAAGGAAGCTTTTTTTTAACCTATCAAAGTAGGAAGCCTCTTTTTTTTGTTGTTTTTTTTTGGTACTGGGGATCGAATGCTGGACCTTGCACTTGTGAATATGAACCACTGAGCTAAATCCCTGGTCCTCAAGACAGAGTATAGAATAAATTAAGCAGAGAGAAAAAGCCTTGGAATCGCATCTCATTTTGTAATGTTAATAGTTAATTAGAAAGTATTCCACTTTATGGATACATTTTTCTGTATAGATATTTTATGAATAAACATCTAGATTTTTAAGTGACTGGCTTTACTAGAAATTTTTGCATTCTTTATAATCCCTGATTGGTCTTATTTAAGTTTAAAGAAGGCAAAGACCGCCTGCTTCACACTGTGCCCTCTCACCAGTCTTATCTTCAACCATGGTGTTTTACCATTGATGAGCACATTTTCCCTCACTGTCTAATTTCCTTTACATTGTTATCTACATTAGTATCTCTTAATACTCAAGTTATTAATCACCATGCTACTCAACATACATTTATTGCCCTCACTCACCTTCATAACTAAAAGAGCCACATTACAGAAAGATATCACAGCTATTTCTTAACTGTCATGATTTCTGACTTTGGTTTATTACTACAGTCATGGCCATCAAACAGTGAAAGAGAAAATAATTCAGTGAAATGTGTTCAACATTATCAAACCCTACTACTGTTATCTAAAAAATTTAAGTATCCATGGATTTATATATGGGCACATGGTTTGGGATCATCCTTAATTGTGCCTATAAGCATATTTCTATTACTGTGCCAATATGGTGGGCTGGGTGGAGATGTAGTTCCATAGATTACTTATTTTATGAAAATTGGAATTGAAAGTGTTTTACCATTTACAAACAATTCTTGTGAAAAATTTAACCTACTCATTGTATATATGGTGACTTCTCACTCATTGCATCATTTCTTTTTTTAAATTAAGATAGTTGGTATTTTTTAGGTATTCAGTATAGCTACATTCATTACTGGGATCACGTACCTTTACATGATGTATATTGGTTTTTGTTTTTTCCCCATTCCTCTGTCCTCCCTTCAACCCTTCTGCCCTTCCCTATTTCCAAAGACTTTGTTTCCATTTTTTCCTTTTCTCATATTTTTCTTTTCGCTTCTTTTGCCTCCCCTCCCCTTCCCACTTCCCCTACTCCTTTAGACCTTTTCTTCTTAATTACATCCCAGCATTTCTAAGCCTTCTAGAAAATGCTAATATTTTTTATCCATCCTTGAAGATCATTAGCATGAGTTTAGGGAGAATAAGTTTAAGTGATTGTGACCTAACCACATGCCCTAAAAAGCTGCTACAGGTGACAGGTATGTGTACGTGGGGGAGCAATAAACTTGGCATCCTATGACTTCATGATATCATATATGCAGGGCCTCACTTTGTATCTGTAGAGAAGACAATATTAATTCACTCAGATGAAAAGCATTTAAAAATCAAGATATACATACTGAATTATAGAAATAAGACATAAATGTAACTTTAAGTGCTTTCTAAAATTCAAAAAAAGACTATCATGTCAATACACTAGTGTGTATGTTTAAGAATAATCTAATTTTGGGCTGGGGATGTAGCTCAGTGGTGCCATTATTGCCTGGCAAGCACAAAGTCCTGAGTTTGATGATCCCTGGTCTTTCAATGCATGAGTTGCATTAACACAATCTTTTTTTTTTCCCTTGCTAGGGGTAATTGGATTGGAGAAGCACCATATAAAGTAGGAGTACCATGTTCATCTTGTCCTCCAAGTTATGGAGGATCTTGTACTGACAATTTGTGTTTCCCAGGAGTAACATCAAATTACCTGTACTGGTTTAAATAAGCTTACTTTCTCCTCCCCAGAAAATATAATGGTTTCTGGGGATCATAGTCATATATGTATATTGAATTTTGCACATATTTTATATATTTTATGATCATCATGTTTTTATGTTAGTATTCATTTGTATAGTGTTTGTCTAGTATATTGCTTAATCATTGGCTATAATCAGAACATCCACTTCTATTTTCTGACCTCTAAGTCTAAATTAAAATATTCTATATGTAGTGATAACACAGTTCTTGCAACCAATTCCAAAACTTGCATTACAAAGGAGTTATATAAGGAATAAAATACTTGTTCAAAATACATGTTCACATCTATAATGTATACATATGTATGTGTGCATATATTCATATGGATACAAACAAATGTATACTATATCTTGTAACATAAATAATATGGTACTACAGTTGAGGGAAATTGAAAACCTATTCTAAAGTACATTTGAAGTGCTGGGGCATGTTCAGCACCATTTCTATGATATCCACAAAGCCAAATAATAGTCAATAACATTTGGAATTTATAATTTAATTAAGCAATCATAAATTTCATTCTGGAGATATTTTATCTCATTTAGGTCCATCAAAGTATATGATCAATTTATGCCTTTTACTTGGTTTCATTTTATTCAATCAGTAATCACATGTTGAGTGCTTACTGAATACAAGGGAGTGTGTCAATTATATTCCAATAATGCAAAGATAATGAGACATAGTTCTGGCCCTAAAGAAGCTCATAACAATATTCAGGAAATAAAGCAGCCAAGTAATTTTTCTGTAAATTTAATTTTTAGGAAATTGATTTTTGTGTGTTTGTGGTTTTGAGGAAGCAAACAAAGTAACCTGCTTCACGTCCAGGTGGAATAAATCATAATCTATATTAATACGTAAAGCTGCTCATTCCCAGGAACATTTAGCTACAGTACTTGGAACAAGAAGGGGAAGGGAAGAGTTAACAAATGCTCACAAATTTCTGGAGCAGAATAGATAGTTAAGACTTTGAAAAGCTGAAAGCAAGATACTCAGAAAACTCATGAGGTCCAAGAGGGTAAGATTTGGGGGATAGGTGCAAAAAAAAAAAAAATCCCAGAAGTAAGGTAATCACACAAAAAGACAGGTGTAGAGTTTTAGAATGTGTATTCTGACAGTGCAATCCTTCTTGAGGCCCATCAACAAGTGGTGAAGCATTCAGAGAGATGCGGGGACTGCAGCTCTTCAGTCTCTTTCTGCCTCACCTGTCATTATTTGTTGAGTCTCAATCTACTTATCATCTTGATTCTTTGAGTCTTAAGGATCCTTCACACATGGTACATGCAGACAGGATTGTGTTAATAGCCTTTTTGGATGTTTTTCTAAGTCTTAACTACCAAATTTTATTTCTATTTCTGTAGAAGAAAAATGTTCAGTTTTAAAATTAACTTTGATTATGAAAATTGAGTAAGTCATTATGAAAGTTTCAATAATTATTTTTTTAGACAAGGCCTCTCTTTGTAATTCAGGCTTGTCTTGAACTCCCTGTGTAGCCCAGGCTGGCTGTGAACTCATAACAATCTCCTGCCTCAGCCTCCTGAGTGCTAGGATTACAGACATGTGCACCATTCATGGCTGAAAAGTTCACTTATGTGATATGGAAATGCAACATTTCCTCATTCATGAAATCCTTTTCAGAGATGAAAACACAATGTGTTGGTCAAGACAACTTAACATATCACATTTCAAATGTATTTATTTTTCAGCATAATGCTTCCATAGGATTATAGAGCCAGGAAACACAATTAGTTCCAGAATGCAAATAACAGAAGGAAGCTACTAGGTTAAATTCTGTAAATTTGCAGTTTCTTAGGGTGGATACATTGAAAGATGACAGATAACTAATTAGATCCATTCAATGGGAAAAGAATCCAGCATCTGGAGATTGGGTCTATTTGATGACTAACAACTGGCCCAATTACTTTTATAAACTGAATACGTTGAACAAATGTTCTGCTCTCATACCACCCTGCTTTTGTGGGCAAACATATGGATGCTATTAAAAATAAACATTTTGAGTAATAAAATGAAGTAATTCTATGATTTAGGCCCCAATCCATAAGATAGCTAGTAAATGGGAGGGAAACTCCATGAGTGGGGTATTCGGTTGATTTACCTAGAAAGTATTTTATCTTTAATACTGCTGTAGTATTCTATGAAAACGTCAGTAATAAACAATTTGATATCTAAATTCCAGTTCCCTTGCTGGTTTACTTATATAGCTTGATTTCTTAGTTCTCCAAAGGAATGGTGGCATTTGCTACACATTTCACAGAGGCTTTTATGAAGGTAAATTTAGTATATTAATTAAAAGTTATGAAAGTTAAAATTTTCATTAATAGAGCTTCTTTTGGGCCAGTCTTTGTCTAATGCTTTGTATTTATCCTAGATTTTTAAAATATATTGGCTGTAATGTAATATATGTTTATTTGACTAGACTTTTACAATTAGCTAAAAAGTCTAGAATTGAAACAACTTAGAGGAATTTTACTTGCCTTTTTTTAACACAAAAATCTCTTAAATATCAAGCAACGAAGGTAACAGAAATCCAGATAAATTGTCCAAAAAATCTAATTAAGACTAGGATCTACACACTTAGAAATTATGTTTGCATAATAGCTCTCTCTAAACTACAAATAGAATAGTAAGCTATTTATAATTTAACAACTAAGCTGAAATATAATGGGTATGTTTATCATTCTAGCTTTACCTTTTAAAGTCAGTAATATAAAATGGCCATATGAAATATTATATTTTCTAGGTTCAAGTAAATGAAAGTTTGCTAGTATCAACACATTCTTTCCTATTTTCATAGCATGCAACAGTGGTGCTAGGATAACTATTTTGCACTGTAATTCCCAGAGGCAGAAAGGGCCTGGGTATAAGCTATTTTGTAAGAGCAGCTTTAAACCGTACTGAGGTTTTCACTTGGAAAAGTTTCATTTAAAGAAATAGTAATCAGCATACATACATAGTATTGATTTTTCTTTCTAACCATTCTTTTCTCAGTGGAAAAGTCAGAATATTTAGGCTCTAGGCCTCCACATAAAACAAAGAATGAAAAAAAACTGCTTTAGTTATTAAATACATGGATTTCTTTATAAAATTGAATGTAAATTGTGTAGGCATAGTCTTAATATTCTTAGTTGACAAATAAGCTTGCTTTGAAAACATGGAAGAGTAATAGTTGCTATTGTTTTGGATTTTGTTCAGTAGGATAAACATCATATCTCTGGGGCTTATCAGAGCTTCCCTATCAACTTCATTTGGTGGTGCTGACATCTTCCATCTGAAACACTCATGAAAACATTCTTTCAAGTTTCATGCAGCTGTAGGGCAGAGCTGACCACATAGCAGGTCAATTCAACCAACACAGTATACTCAGAACATTTGAATTGAAATTATATATACTTCCTCATTTATAATACTTGTATTAAGTCAGTTTACAACATCTACATAAGTAAATCTAACACATTTATGCAAGTAAATGTTTTAGGTACATTCCCTGTCTATTAAATAAATGCAGAGTCTAAACTGCTAAGTTGAATGTTTCCATCAAGGAATTGTAATCCTGAAACTTTGGTCTTTGTTTTTTCTTGGTATAACAACATTCATTAGGCTCCACAATAGCACAGGAGGCAAATCTTCACACAGATGGAAGCCTTTATCTACTTAAGTATTTAAGAAGGGTGAAATTATATTTCTATTAATATTTAACATTATCTTTGTTGTAATATTTTATACTGTCGTATGTGTGGGTGAAGACATTTAAATACATGCAAAAATGATTTTTAGAATTATGTCATGGTCTAACTTTGATTCATGAAAGGCCAATCAAAAACTTAAGAGTGTTTAATAATTCACTGGTTAATGGTGCTAAAAACACATTACAATCACCACATTCTTGCTTCAATTTTGAGGGTTTTTTTGCAATTAAAGTTATTAAATGTGAGCTCTCAATATCTATTCTGGTGCTAAACACATGGTGCTAAAATAAACTGTTAGTGCTAATGGCTTTAGTAATGTTCCTTTTTTCAATAATTTCTTGGTTCAGAAATATTAATAAAAATCCTATTTTAAATTAACCTTCACCCAAAACAGGTCAGTTAAATATGTTTTATTTAATGATGAAAATTATTTAAGTGCACAAAATTCAAATATATTTCTTTAGCAGTCACCACTTTTCTTTAAAACATTTGTTAGGTTGGCGATTTCCAAACACAAGAAATCACCTGAAAGTTAAATGTCGCCTGTTATTAACCATACTGCAGGTCCTGTCGCCCTCTGCTGGTTGTGGAAACAAATTAGTGATGGGCCAAAGCAAAAGTCGTTTTCTGTAAAATTTTAAATTTCACAATATTTTCATTCTTGATTATGTCCCATAGCACAATATTTAAAAGTGCTTGACTCCAGTGATATTCTTTGCTAAAAGGAATAAAAAAGAGAGTTAATGTATCATGGTATCCATTTTCCTAAATATTATTTTTACACTGTTTTTCAGTTCTAAGGGTGCTTAATAAGCGTGTTTTATGTTTTCTTTTCTGAAAGAGGTATTGCTAAAACTTATTTTTATTTGGTTATGTCATAAGTACAATTATAATTGCAATTACAAAAAATAACTATAGTTATGTCTCATTTTCAGGAGTATTTTTATTTAGCACAGTACATGAGATTAAAAGAAGATATAGTAAATAACTGTACATATATAAATGGATGATCTCTCCATCTTTAACTGTTGTTGTATAATTCAGCAATGTCATTTGGTCCTACTATTGAGCAGATCATACTTTTTATTATTCCATTAAAAGTGCTTCCAGCTTTTAAACATACATTTCTTACCTACTCGTGAGATTGTATCTCCAAAAACTAGAGGAAGCAATGAATGAAGGTAAAGTACAAAACCCATAAAATGGATCTACTCTTTTCTTTAGGGCCAGGTAACACTTTTCTCTGAGCCCTCGGATCACATTAAACAAAAAATGTTGATTTAAATTATCCAGTACTTCCTATTTTTTCCTTAAACAATC